GCGCCCGTGGGTGGCCGTTGTGGCACCCGGGGGACGTGCCTGACGCCGCGGGAGGCGCCGGCGCTGAGGTCCCCCTGCCCCCAGGACTACTGCGGCGGCGAGAACGGCACGTTCCGGATGCTGACCGAGAGCGTCCCGTGCTGCGAGGACGGGCTCACGTGCTCGCGGAAGGTCATCGTGGCTTTCCAGGTAGGCCGAGCGAGCGGGCCGGCCGCGGGTCCCCGGGGGCCGGCGCACCCAGCGACGCGAGCCTGTCTGCTGCCAGGACCAGAACGTCGTCCTGCACGACGGGAAGGTGACCGCCACGAGGACCGCGGAGAGCAAGGACTGTGCGCTCCGCGCCGATGCCTACTCCGTGCACACCGTGGGCCTCTACCTGATTGTCAAGTTCAGAGGCGGGGTGACCGTGATCTGGGACAAAAACACCAGAGTGTCGGTCATCCTGGACCCGCACTGGCATGTACGGGCGCCGCCGGGCCTGGGGGGCTGGGGGGCGGCAGCCTGTGCGCCCAGCCTCCGCGCGGTGGGATGGGCGCGGAGGCGGGCCAGGGTGTGGCCGGGCTGCTGGCCCCTGCACTTGCTGGCCTGAGACGTGGCGGCGGTGCAGCGGGCCGGTGTGTGGCTGCGCTGCTGTCTGGGCACCGCTCGGCTGTGGGGCCCGAGCTGGTGAGCGGAGCTGATTCTTTGTCCTTATGCACCTTAGTGGGTATGTGACTGGGTCCCCATCTTGGACCAGTGTCAGCCACAACTCCTGATTGCTTCCCAGACTTGGGGTTGGGAAGTGGCCTGGGGCACGCTGTGCCCCGCAGGCTGCGCCCCTTGCTGCCCTGGGGTCCCCTAGTAGCCCGAGCCCGGCGTGGCTCAGTCCCGTCTGGCTGGCAGGGCAAAGTGTGCGGCCTCTGTGGCAACAACAATGGCGACCTCAAGGACGACTTCACCACGCGGCGCTCCTCGGTGGCAGCCGGTGCGCTGGAGTTTGGAAACAGCTGGAAGACGAGCCAGGAGTGCTCGGACACGGTGGCGCAGGCGTTCCCGTGCGACTCGAACCCGTACTGCAAGGCCTGGGCCACGCGCAAGTGCGAGATCATCCGGGACAGCACCTTCCGGGACTGCCACGGCAAGGTGGGCGGGGCCAGGCGGGCGGGGCGGGGCGGGGCTGGCTTGGACCCCAGGCAGCGGGCGGCTTCCGTTGGCCAGGTGAGCCCAGAGTCTGCCCCAGGGGTGCCGGAGGTC